TTAGTTATTAGACCGATATTGTCTATAACTTTCGGCGGAGCCTCAGCGCGTTTTCGAGCACGGGGTTTCTACAGTGTTCATATCATTTGTTCAACTTAAACTCTCGTCTTCGACATCAAACTCTTGTCCAACAAAATTGAAAACATTCCTGAAACTGATCTGATTTGCTCTCGTCTTCGACATCAAACTCTTGTCCAACAAAATTGAAAACATTCCTGAAACTGATCTGATTTGCACAAAAATGGAGAAGAGACTCCGGTCTTCTCTCAAGACACCTGTGAATTTTACCTTAAAATCATCTAAACTGTCACTGAAAACCATTATCAACGCTGTAAAACCTTCGTCAGACCTCTCATATTCTCTCCCACTCGCTCTTCATAACTCTATACTCCACCATACAGATTCTTTCCAGAAACTCAACGAAGATGATAATCTACATCTCTTTTCTCTCTCCAATTCTCCTCCATTGAAGCGCCAACGTGGTAACAAATCCGGATGCGGACCCTTATCCGACTCGGATTTGGATCAGCAAAGGCAGAAGATCAATAGTTCTCTCCAGGTCCTCTCTCATGTACTTCATCTATGTGTTTTATCTTCCAAAAAAACATTTTTTACCTCTGATTTACTCCCCGCTGCTCAAGCTTTGCATAATAATCTTATACTGTTTGAGTCGGATACGGTTTCTGTGCCTTGAGATTGTCGGAATTTGTGAGTCTTGGTGGAAGGAAGGTCTTACGGGAAGAGAAACTTTGATCTCTCAGTCGCTGCCGTTTCTGCTGTCGAGGTCATTGACATTGAAGAAGAAAGTAGATGTGCATCGAGTCTATATGCTGAGGGAAGCATTCACATTGTTTGATTTCGAGGACGAGAGCATTGAAGATCTGAGGATGCTTTTAATGCGGTGTGTGGTTTCACCCTTGTATGTAAACACAGAAGACGGGCAGAGATTTCTCTCATTTGCTTTTGGGCTTAGCAGACAGTTGATGAAGTCTGGTCTTGCTGTTGTCAAAGCTCAGATTCCTTTTGGGAGGAAATCGGTGCTTGAAGGATTTGGCGGGATTCTCTTTAGGGTTCGGAAAGAAGTAGATCAAGATTTGAAATGTGAGATTGAAGACGGGTTTTTACAAGAGATCATTGAGAGTGTTATTCATGCTGGTTCATGCGCCTTTGCTGCCTCTCTTAGAAAGGTTTTGGGAGGGTTTATCACACAGCGGACAACTCAAGGCGTTGAGAAGCTCCTCTTTGGTCTTGCCGAGCCCATGATGTTTCGTTCATTGCAGGTTTGTTTCTTAAGCTCTGCAGCTTCTTCTCAAAGTAGAACCATAAGGGTGACAAGCTTAGTGTAGCGTATGCAACATAGCCATTACCTAGAACTTAACTAGGCATTTTTTGTTGGTATTTTAGGCTGACATTGTTTGAACATTCGGTAAGAAGTGATTTTTTGCTGCTCTAATAATCTTTCAGGTTGCAAATTCAAATGTTCGTTTAAATGCTTTACATTTACTTCTGGATCTTTTCCCGATGGAGGATCCGGATGTAACAAAAGAAGAAAATGACACGCTGCTTGACAAACAGTTCTACTTGTTGGAAAAAATGATGAATGATGAATGCCCAGGTGTGAGATCTGTTGCTGTGGAAGGTCTTTGTCGAGTTTTCTATCTTTTTTGGGAAGTGATCCCTTCCCCAACAATTACCAAGACCATCACAAAACTTTTCGATGATATGTCACATGAATCGTGCAGTGAGGTTAGACTTTCAACCTTTAATGGTATAACTTATCTTCTTGCAAATCCACAGTCTCATGGTATTCTTAAAGTGTTTTTGCCAAGACTTGGGCATTTGATGCTAGATAATGTTACTTCAATACGAGTTGCCATGGTAGATCTGCTCCTTTTTGTAAGAGATGTTCGGACTTTCCCGTTTAACACGGTAGGGCGAAGCCTTCCATTTCTTCTTTCAGATTTCTTTTGTCACTTTTGTTGAGTCACTGGTATAATAGTTGCCTTATTATATGCAGGTGGTGAGCTTGGATGTGTTATTATCTGTGCTTGCTTCGGATCAAACTCATGTTGCTAAGGGAATCGTGCGACTTCTAATGCCATCATATTTTCCATCAAAAAAGAGAGTTGAGGAGGCGTGCACGCGATGTAGAACACTCCTAAACAGAAACCCAATGGCTGGTGCAAGGTTTTGCGAATTCTTAGTATTTGTTGGAGCCACCTTTCAATCTGTATTGCAGCTTGTTAGGTTCTTCTTGAATATAGTTTTGTCAGGCGAAAAGATAGAGGAAAACCAGATTGAAGGCTTGCTTTTTGCTGTGCATTATCTCTGTAAAGATCTGGTTGCTGATTCGGGGTGTCTTGCCTCCCTTAAAAAGATGTTACCTGCAGAGAAATTGAAAAGCTTGCTAGCTTTTGCACCCACTGCACAGGCTCAATCAGCTGTATTTGATATTCTTGCTATGGTCTCCTCTGATGTCGTCTCTGACGTCCTAGAAAATTGCATAACTTTAATTCTTAATTGTGGTGGTTTACCTGGGGATGTAGGACGACAGATCGAGATGAGATCTGTTCACAAGCTACTCATTTCTTCTAATGCCTTACCTGACCTCGTTGGAACTTTTACCAGTATCCTGCAAAAGACTGCGTACCGTTGTCAGATCAATTTCGGCTAAGAAGAAGAAAGACAGAATGTGTATTCCATGTCGAGGAAGAAATCAAAGTCCTCTGGAAAATTTTTGGCGCGGTGGAAACATGTTAGCGGGAAAAACGTAATCAGTTTCGAGGAAGATTATTCGGTTGCTGTAGGAATAGCATGGCAAATAAAGGATTTACTACTTATCGATGATGCTCGTAAAACTATACTGGAGTCTGATATTGAGGAGTTATTCTTTGCTTTAAAAATTATCTCCCAGACTAGCGTTTTGCAAGCCTCTTCTTGTGAATACATAGACGTGTACCCTGTATTGGCATATACATCTCTTGCTTTGCATATGACTCTTCAGAATAGTAATACGAATACTCAGAAGAATGATACAAAAATTGTTGAGGTAAGAAATTTTTGTTTTCCCTCTTGACTCTTTGCTTTTCACACCATCAGTTTACTAATTACCAGGATTCTTAATTTTCTAGCAGGATATTCTGGACCAAACAATGGATCACATTTTAGAGTGCACAAATGAATTATTTCAGGCAGGTGACAGTGGAACGCAAGGGACCGTATCTCTAGAGGCTAACCTTAGAAAGAAACCCAAAACAAGTTTTTAAAATGTCGGTGATGATGGTAAGTGGAGAGTTTTGAGTTTCATTACACATGTTACCCAATATAATGAAATCTTGTTATGTACCTCTCTGCTTCTGGTAAGTATCAGTTCTCTTTAAAGATTTCTAACATCGTTTCATGTTTCATGTAGCTTTTGAGGGATCCAAGGAAGAAGGTGTACTAAACAAGGTCAAGATGCTAACTGCGATTCTCAAGTTTATTGTTGAGTCTACAGAGATGGGTCTAGCTTCCCACTTCCAAGCAAGGATGTTGAAGTTCACATCCGCATGTCTAAAGTATGCCATCTCACTTTTCAACCACCATTCAACCGGTAAGTTACAATTCAAGGATGCAGATTTAAAGGACATGATTCTGTGTACAAAGAGCTCTACGAGTTATGTCGGAAAGTTCATAAACCTAGTGATGAGTCACACGACCGAAGCTTCATGCCCTTTGTTTGGAGCTTTTGACCTTGCAAATGACATGCTTGATCTATTCACCACGGTTGAGCTATCTTTAGGTTCAGCTTATGCATCAAGGCTTGTGACAGTCTTAAACCCTTGGATACCAGATTTGGTTCTTGCAATAGGACCTTGTTTCATCAACAACAACAACATGGAAGAAGAAAGGTCATACACCAGCTCATTCAACCACATCAACCTCCACTTTCCGTCATGGCTTCTCACTTGTGCAAAGATCGAACTACATGAAATCGATGAGACATCGGAATCCCATCTTCCACTCCCGACATTCAAAAGACTGAGAGACACCATAGTTTCATTAGTGAAAGGTAACTCCAAGGTGGTTGATGGTGTCGGTTATGTTCTTTTGATATGTTCAGCAGTGTGTATAGAGAATAAGGATTACACTACAGCTCTAGGATTGTTGCATTTTCTATGTGTGAAGTTGGGAAGTAGAGAAGATAGAGAGTGGAAAGAGCTTGACACAATGTTGGTCTCACTTCCGAGAATTTACCCGATTATAGAGCGAGAGATTGGTGAAGAAAGAGATGAAGATGAAGTGAAGCAGCTTAAGGCTGCAAGAGAATTGCTTCAACCTGTGTGGATGTACCATGTGTATGAAACCGGAAGGTTCCGCATGATAGAGGAAGAAGAATAGATAGGAAATAAAAAGTTTGTGGCTTTTTATTTTATCGTCTTTCGTCTTTTTCGTCTTTTTCTATTCAGGAGTTGTTTTTTGTTTTATCGATGATATCAAAAAATTGATTTCCTTTTAAATGCATTTTTGCAGTAACTGTCTATTTTATATAATTATTTTTAAATATATTAAGGATAATAATTTTAAGTTTTGCCAAATTTAATATGATAACTGTAATCAATATAAGAATTTATAAATTTGGTTATAATTTTTAAAAAAATTAATTTTAATTAAAACATGATAAAATTTTAGAATTTATAAACATAATTAAAACTAAATGTAAGAAAATTAAAATTAAAATAATAATTAACAGAAATTAAATAACAATAATTTAAAAAATATTTGTCTGATTTATTATACACTTTTTTATAAACGTTTTTATATAGTTTTAGATATATATTTTTTATAGAATTTTTCTAGAATTTTTTTTCATACTTGTTTTTAGAACTTTTTTTATCAAATGTATATATATAGTAAAAGATATTAATAAAATAATGATGGTAATTATCCTATTCTCTAACAAATAATGATATACTGTAATAACATCCGGAAATTTTAGTCAGCTCCAAAAGGGAAAGGAAAAAAAATTAAAATCTCCGAGTACAAAAAATCCAATTTCTCAGTTGTAGCTTCGTCTTCGTCGATGGGTTCTGCATCTGGAATTTCTCAATAACATTTGTTCCATAAACCCTTTTGAATCAAACGGTTTCTCAATTCCAGATTAAACCCTAGAATCTAAGATTCTCGTCGAATTCAATCTCCCAAGAAAAGTCTCTCCCCTATTTTCTCTGCTCTGCCTTAAACCGATCCAGAAAATCGGAAAGATTAGATTTTCCCATCGATCGTGATTGACTGACTATGCATAGATCTGGTACTACAATGGCGTGGAACGTCTTCCAATTCTGTACGGTTCTACGAGGACTCGGATCGATCATGATCCTTCTGGTCTTGGGGGTTGTTGGTGTGACATATTACGCCGTCGTTTGGACCAATTACGGACCTGCACTGTCAGATGGAGGGCTCGATTCTCTTGCCGCTCTTACAATTATAATCCTTTTCCATTTCTTGGTAAACCCTTCGTTCAACTTATTGATTTTACCCATTTCTCCAACAAAAGATTCGTATTTTGATGGATTCTTCATCATAACTTTGTTGGGTTTCAAGTAATTTTTGTGTTTGATTGCTGAGAAAGTGATAATGATGATGTGTGTGTGTGTGTGTTACTGGTGCAGTTGGCTATGCTTTTGTGGAGCTACTTCTCTGTTGTGTTTACTGATCCTGGTGTTGTGTCTCCTAATTGGAGGTCAGCTTCTGACGAAGAACAACGAGGCGAGTCTGATCCGTTAAACAGTTTGGAGTTTGGCGGGTTACAGCCCGATTCTTCGAACCAAAGAACTCGGTTTTGTAGAAAATGCAATCAACCTAAGCCTCCTCGTTGTCATCATTGCTCTGTTTGTAAGATCTCTCAGTCACACTTTCTATTTTATGCTTCTTTTCTTTGAAGCATCTGTTGAAGAGGAATCAGGAAGCTGATTGTGTTTTACATCAAATCCAGGTGGTCGGTGTGTATTGAAAATGGACCACCATTGTGTTTGGGTTGTTAACTGTGTCGGGGCGCTTAACTATAAGTATTTTCTTCTTTTCTTGGTAAGTCTACTTTGATCTATTAGTCACTTTCCCTTTTCTGTTGTGATCCCTATCCTGCTTCATTCGGATTTTCGGTAATAGTTCACAGCTTAGCTAGCTCCCGATTTTAAAGTTGGATTGGGCCAAAATTAGAAGTTTTTTTTTTTTTGCTTTTAGGATACATCCATGTTTGTTACTGCCAACTGATGGAAATTCTTACTCTTTGTGCCGTGTCATATCTCTTCTGTGTAAAAATGCAGCTTTACACCTTTCTGGAAACAACTCTTGTGACTTTACTTCTTATGCCGCACTTCATAGCGTTCTTTAGTGACGAAGAGATACCTGGAACCCCAGGCACCCTTGCTACTACTTTTCTTGCATTTGGTACGTTCCTAGTTTCTAGTTTTCTTATGTTTAATCTATTCGTCCTACTTATCCCCGACCTTCTGTCTTCTGATGATTTTTCATCTTCACTACCGCAGTTTTAAACCTGGCATTTGCTTTAAGCGTTATGGGTTTCTTAATTATGCACATCTCGCTCGTAGCTGCCAATACCACAACTATAGAGGTAATGTTCTTTTCTTTTTCATCTCTAGCCTGTAACAGTTTGGTGCATCACATAGTCAAGCGTTCTTTGGTGTATTGACTTTGTGAACAGGCATATGAGAAGAAAACAAGTCCGAAATGGCCGTATGACCTGGGTCGAAAGAAGAACTTTGAACAAGTAAGTTAGACTTTGATAACTTGTTTTGGACACATAAAGTTTCTTTCTTTCTCATTGTTGCAATCTCTTTTTAGGTATTTGGTATGGATAAGAGATACTGGTTGATACCGGCATACTCGGAAGAAGATTTAAGACGAATGCCGGAACTTCAGGGACTCGATTACCCTTCGAAACCTGACTTTGATTCCCAAGACTTCTGAAGAAAAGATGGTTTCTTTTTCCTTTTAAGGCTGGAGCAATACCTTAGAGATGACAGAGATAGTGGCAGACCCGGAAATGACTTTGGAAGAGGAAAAGTACTAACTTCAGAGAGTAGCTTCTCGCTTACACGGTCCCGTTTCTTCTCACGGATTGAACAACGCTGAGACTAAGGGCAAATCATACGACCAGATGATATTTTGGATCCAAATGTTCTTCTTTATTGAGTAGTTAGCATATGATGATGGTTAATCTATAAATGTAGAGCCAGTCTCACGTTGAGAAGAATCTCCCTGTTTGGTTCCTGATTTTTGTAGATGTTGTCTTTTTACTGGATTTTTGTGGTAAAAAAAGAAGAATGAAAATTCACGAGGAAGTAGAATGATGAAAAAGCTTCTAGCCTTATTGTGTAATCGACACGTGTCTTTATCTAAAATTATATTCCCGTTTAAGATTAAAGCAGTGCTGTTATATTTATATTTTATCTTTTGAATCGTCTCTGTAGAATTTCTAGGCTCTTCTCGCAGGTACTCGCTCTTTCGCTTGGGTCTTCTTCTAGGAGATCTCTGCAAATGTCTGTTGTTTGGGTCTAATACTTAGGGAAATATGTTGCAAGTGTAGGATACGATTCTGAATTTGCTACCAACGAGATCTGAGTTTTCGCTGATTGTTTTTCAAATTTGAGCACTAGAACTTTGTCGGAGAAGAAAAGTATTGGAAAAGATTGCAGGAGCTTAACAAAGAGCTGGGAAAATGGGTGATCCATTTCCATTTGGTAGTAGGTTTGGAAACTTTGGTGGTTTCGGAGCATTTAGAGGTAGCTTGTTTGGAGGGAGAGATCCTTTTGATGACCCCTTCTTCTCTCGACCATTTGAAGATCTGCTCGAACCCAACAGCTTTAGCTCAGGTGCTTCCTTTAGTAACGTACAAGATAACAATAGTGGAAGAGGGTTAACAATTGAAGAATTATCATCTGATGATGGAGAAGAAGAGGAAGGGAAAGATACTGGAAATGAGGAACAACATACTGCTGGTTCAGAGAATCAGCCATCTGTTGAGCACCCTGAAGATGATGCTGATGGTATAAATGATTATTATAGTCATTATATATATTTTGATTTACTGATTGCGCAACATGGCTGATTTGTGATTTTCTTGGTTTGTTGTAGCTGAGAGGAAGATTCGGAATGTGAATCAAAGGAGTGACTTTAACATAAGAGAGTGTGCACAGTCTCGAGCACAAACTTTCAGACATCACACCTCTAAGGTCACATATGGTGGCATAGATGGTGCTTACTATATATCCAGTAGAACCAGAAGAAAAGGCAGTGATGGAGTATGTTGTCTCTCTTTTCAGATCCTTTTTGTTAATGGAAGTTTTGTACATACTAACCAGATACTGTTTCTGTTTCTAGATGGTGGTTGAGGAAACCAAAGAAGCCGATAAGACTACTGGTGAAGCCACTCATAGGATCTCCAGAGGAATCAATGAAAAGGTGATGATACTGTTGATGTTGATGTTGATGTTTTTGCTCCATCACTTATTGTCCAACAAGTTTCATTATTGGTTTTGGTGTAATCAGGGTCATTCGGTTACTAGGAAGCTTAACTCGAGTGGTGGCGTAGAGTCGACACAGACTCTTCACAACCTCGATGAAGGTCAGTCTGCAGAATCTGCACAGCCTAATCGAAAATTAAGCTCTTTGAAGAAAAAATGATGAGAATCTAAAAGACTGCTTTTTTTTTTTTTTCAGAGGAACTAAGTGGCTTTGAAGAAGCATGGAAAGGCAATTCTTCTCTTGCCAAGCATGAATCCACTGGTTAGCAAACTGTTCATCTCAAAACTATCTTTGATCTCAAATTCGCAGTCCATTTTACTATATATGTTATTTTTTCTTCATCTCCGTGCAATGTTGCAGGCTCTGATCATAGTTTTGGAAGATGGCTTCTTACATCTCCCGACCAATCCTCTCGCCGAGCGGACGAAAGTCAAACCGGTTGGAACCGATCTGCAACTAAAACTAAGAAGATTGTTCGGATCAACATTGAATGAATCATTAGAGAATCGCCTGTAGAAAAACATGTATCAATCTTTAAATAATACTGTAGATGATGTTTGAAGTTGTGATGTTAAAGAATTTTACATTCGTGTAATCGTGTGAACACAACATGATATGGAGTCTTGTGGAAAATTATTTCAAGTATTGTAATCTATTATCTATATACATCATATGACTATGACTCGCAAAAATGCAAAATGAAGTAGCGCAAAAGAGTAAAAACAGGAAAAAGTAGGTTAGCGTCTGAACAAATGCTCCTCACCCGATAGATGATCTACGTGTCTAATCCAACGGCTAGTACGCTTCCTCGAGTCACCACGCTGATGGCTACCAGAGGCTCCCACGTGTGCGATATCTAACCCACTCCCTACCGGTAAAATCACGGATCTCACAACACGTGTCCCTCTTTTCAACACATCGGGCCATTTAAAACCAGACATCGCTCCTTGCGTGGCGTTTTTACACACCAAAACGGCACCATTGTTGCTCAATTTCGCAAACCTCAGTGTTCTAACGAAGTCGCGGTGCTTCGAGTCCACCACCATGAAATCTACGCCGGGAAACTCCTCTACCGCGTTCTCCACAGATTCTCCGACCACCACAACCTCCGTAACTTCCGAGGTAACGACTTCTCTCATGGCCGACACGTACTCCGATTTAGACTGCTCATCAGGTACTATACAAACGTGTCTTCCGCACGTGTGAGTTGCAGCAACCGCGAGTCCGACGCTAGTCGCAATTGGATCGCCGCGTGACCAAGTCTCAACGATTAGCCTCGCGTTCCATCCAGCCGCCGTAGCTGATAAAAACTCCGATACTCCTGATTCCTTGTAGCTCTTACACTATACACATCCATACATGCAAATTAATTAAAGATAAATAAATATAATTAAGCATAATTGCATACGTATACGCGTATATGATTATAATTAAATCACTTACCGATCTAACGGTGTCGATGTAAGCGTCAGAGGCGTTTTCAGGCGACCAGACAAGCTTCATGGTGAGTGTAAAATGGAGATTTTATGATTTGTGATGAAGGAAGCGGTTAGGTTCTATAAATAATAATATACACACGAAGCGTTGACATTTGCTTACACTATTAACAACGTGTCAATTGGTCTCATTGCACCCATTTATTACTACTCCCTATATTTTTGTTTTCTTTCAAGCTGTTACTAGTATAAAGTATAAACCTCATCAATCATTTTTTTTTTCTTTTAATTCCATTGTGTCAGCCCACCATTTTCACAAGGTAAACCAATATTCATATTTATCAGTAAAACATCCATCGATGATCGATCGATCGTTATACTATATGTTCATTATGTGTCCAAACTTTCATTTTTATCATCTAAAATGAGTTATTGCGAGTTTATCTGAATTAAACTAATATATTTCACATATAATTTATATAAATGTTTGTATGCTTATTCGTTTTACTGAAGTTTAATTTTATAGCTATTTAACATATAATACTAACAAAATTATAAGAATTATATTTTACGCATTAAATTACTATATTGTTTTTTTAACTACATTATTATATTTAATCATTGGCTTTGTTATAATACTCGCAAGTGGATTTGTTTTTTTTTTTTTTTTGGACTTTTGGTACTTGTTTCATTTTCGTCAACAGAGTCGAGTATCAAAGGATACGTAGATCGAAAGATTTGATTGCTGACATTGTGGACTCGGTGAAACAGCTTGAAAAAATTACATGAGATGGTCAGCCTCAATCTTTGATTTTTTTTCCACTTTCTGTTGTTCATTTCCAATCTTTGATATAATTATATCAAAGGCTTATAAGCCTTTGTTGTGTCAACATAATGACGATTCAAATTTTATTTTTTCTCTGACACTCGCTTTCATTTGCCAACCAACGGTTATTTATATAAGATAACATCAAACGTATATAAACGTATATAAACATAATTTCATCGCCGGCCAGTTTGGCTTATTATGCACGTACCATATAAGCTAAACCAATATGCGACAAAGATATATATAAATTACAAAACATATAGGGTCATTGAATTAATGTACTATGGTAGCTCGACTGACTAAAAAATGTGGTTTTGTACTTTTGAATTAAAATTCAGGTTATATATGAATATATATTTTGTATAGTATAATTTTTATCTTGTTGTTAGGGCCAACAAATACGAACCAAAAGTACAGAATTCCTGGTTTATTTTAAGATACGATATTTAAATCAGACAATCTTTCTTAGTCGTCTTACAGACAGTATATTGATTAAATTATGGCTAAACTAACTAAGCCAACGAAGTCTCTCAAAATTCATCTTACTCTTAACACCTATATTTGATTATTTTGACCTTATTACATCTTTATTTTTTGGAATTATAAGATATATAAGTGATCACTAAGCCAGTAAAATCTCTCGAGTAATTATACTTGTGAATGTGTTGTGTAGCCCCGAATGTGCAAGAACTATATATGAGTAGTCATGAACATATAATTTTGCATTACCGTGATAACGTAAATCGAATATTGAGACCAAAATTCGAAACATGCCTGTACCATGGCTCCTGAAATAGTAGGAACAACTAAATATCTAGCTAAGTACTCTTAAGCTAATTAAATTCTGAAGTTGACATGATATTAATTTGATTTGCTAATGAGTAAACGACAAATTCGCGCTTTCGTTTTATATTAAAGACGCACGATTTTTAAATTGCAACTTTGCATGGAAATCATATTATATTTATTTTAAAATAACCAATTTGATAAAGGGAATAAATGTACGATATATCGTACCACTCCATCCTGATTCCTGACTATGACTTATGAAGAAGTCAATGCTTATCAACTTGCTTATCAATATCTTATCATCACTATCAGTTTTCTATTTTCTGTACATATATTATTTCGTAGAGTCGTTTGGCGGACATATTTTAATCGACCTAAACTTTAAGATCTCTATCTAACTTGTGTTGTGAGGAATATGCTTAAACTCGAATGTGAGTGAGTGTCTAGTTTCTATATCTTTTTTTCTTTCTTTCTTTTTAAGACTTGGGCCAATAATAGTTATTATTGGGCCTTAAATTGGGAGCTGGTTTGTAAGCAATATAAATCGACGTCGTTTAATCATTCCCACAGAGACTACACAGAGCCGTTAAACGATCATGAACCCAATCCGGTTTATCTCCAACAGAAATGTGATGCTCGTCTTGGCGCATTCTCAGCATCCATGGAGTTCGACTTCACCCACCATCCAACTCCTCGGAAGCTGCAAAACTTCAGATGACGTGAACAAAATCCACGCGCGATTGATTACGACGGGATTCATCAAAAACCCAAATCTCACTACGAGGATCGTTCTCGCTTTTGCCGCTTCTCGACGCCCGTTTCTCGCCGAATTCGCGCGTTGTGTCTTCAACGAGTATCATGCATGTTCTTCTTCGCCGGGAGAGGTTGAAGATCCATTTTTATGGAACGCCGTGATAAAATCACACTCTCATGGAGTCGATCCGAGACGAGCTCTGCTCTTGTTCTGTTTCATGCTCGAGAATGGTGTTTCCGTGGACAAATTCTCGCTGTCCCTTGTTCTGAAATCTTGTTCTAGATTAGGGTATGTAAATGGAGGAATGCAGATTCATGGGTTTCTGAGAAAGACTGGAATTTGGTCGGATTTGTTTCTGCAGAATTGTCTTACTGGGATGTATCTGAAATGTGGTTGTTTGGGGTTTGCCCGCCAGGTATTTGATAGAATGCCGCGGAGAGACTCAGTTTCTTATAATTCAATGATCGACGGGTACGTCAAATCTGGAGCGGTTGAATCTGCGCGTGATTTGTTTGATTTGATGCCAATGGAGAAGAAGAATTTGATAACATGGAACTCTATGATATGTGGGTATGCTCAGACAGCAGCTGGAGTTAACATAGCGTCAAAACTTTTTGATGAAATGCCAGAGAGGGACTTGATTTCGTGGAACTCGTTGATCGATGGATATGTAAAACACGGAAGAATCGAGGATGCTAAAGGTTTATTCGATGCGATGCCGAGAAGGGATGTAGTTACTTGGGCTACTATGATTGATGGGTATGCAAAGCTAGGTTTTGTTCATAAGGCTAAGAGTCTGTTCGACCAAATGCCTCAGAGAGATGTTGTGGCATATAACTCCATGATCGCTGGTTATGTTCAAAACAGGTATCACATGGAAGCTCTTGAAATATTTAACGACATGGAAAAGGAGAGTCACTTATCACCCGATGAAACGACTTTGGTGATAGTTCTTTCTGCAGTTGCCCAACTTGGCCAATTATCCAAAGCGATTGATATGCATTTGTACATTGTGGAGAAACAATTCCTTTTAGGTAGGAAACTCGGCGTTGCTCTCATTGATATGTATTCGAAATGCGGAAGCATCCAACACGCCATGTGGGTTTTCGAGGGAATCGAAAGTAAAAGTATTGATCACTGGAATGCCATGATTGGTGGGCTAGCTGTTCATGGTCTTGGAGAATCCGCATTCGATATGCTTTTGCAGATCGAGAGACGCTCCATAAAACCCGACCATATCACTTTTGTTGGAGTCTTAAATGCCTGCAGCCACTCTGGGTTAGTGAAGGAAGGTCTTCTCTGCTTTGAGCTCATGAGGAGGAAACACAAGATAGAACCAAGATTGCAACACTATGGATGTATGGTCGACATACTCTCAAGGTCAGGAAGTATAGAGCTAGCCAAACACTTAATAGAGGAGATGCCAATTGAACCAAATGATGTCATATGGAGAACGTTTCTCACCGCTTGTAGTCACCACAAGGAGTTTGATACGGGAGAGGTTGTTGCAAATCATCTTATACTGCAGGATGGCTATAACCCGAGCACTTACGTGATTCTCTCTAACATGTATGCTAGTCTTGGAATGTGGAAGGATGTTCGTAGAGTTAGAACGATGATGAAGGAAAGAAAGCTAAAGAAAATTCCTGGATGTAGTTGGATTGAGCTCGACGGAAGAGTCCATGAGTTCTCTGTAGATACCATGGAAGTTTCCAATACATTGTAGATAAAAGATTGTGCAGCCAAATATTCTCAAACGCTTAAACTTATTCTACATTTCCTTGCCATACATCAAATGGAGAACGAAACAGAGTGATACATGAAGACAATGTCACAACATATTCACATATTGGTCGGTTTTGTGCAGCTGAAATATGTCTGAAAAAAAAGCTTCCCACAAAATCACCTAAAATGTCTGAAAAAAGCGCTTGTTTTTACAGCCTAAGTACATCAACTACAGTTACAAGGAGATAAGATTGTTACATCATGAAAATCGGATCCCCTATACTCGACCTAAACAGAGCTAACATCAGGGGAATCCTTGGTGTGTCTTATATTCTTGGACAATCAAAAGCAAGAACCTTGTTAAGTGGAAACTAATAATTGGCGGCGAGTTTATTCAGTTCTTGCATAACATATTCCATGGATGGTCTCTGGTTTGAGGATTCATGAGTGCAGAGAAGACCAAGTCTAGCGAACTGAGCTGCTTCTGCTTCCGGAAAGTTCTTTCGAAGATTTGGATCTATGAAATCTTCATTCAGTCTTCCTGACTCTACAGCTTGTAAGATCATCAAATGGCTGATTTTGCTTTTACCACTGAGTATCTGTAAGAGAATCATTCCAAAGGCATAGACGTCGCTCTTGTCAGTAAACCTTCCTGTAGTAATGTACTCAGGAGCTAAGTATCCCATTGCAGCACTTGCTTTGAGCTTGGAGAAAACGATATCATCCGTGAAAAGCTTGTGAAGACCGGAATCCGCAAGAGAAGGATTATACCAATGATCAATGAGAATCTTCTCTGCAGATAGATTCTGGTGAACTATTGCAGGTTTGTTCCCATTTTCTCCATGTAAGTACACAATGCCTGCAAGAAGTAAAAAAAGAAAAAGAAATCAGACAAAATCCGATTTTTAGTTTGCGAAAGAATGAATCTGCAGGACTCCAACCTCTGGCGATTCCGTTTATGATGGAAACTCGGGTTGTCCATTCAAGAACCTCTCCAGTCTCATC